AGAAGAACAAATAACTAAGTTAGAAAATATAATAAAATAAAATTGTTAAATCAAAGATAGAAAAAATTGATATATTTCTAGTAAATCCAGTTAGGAGGACAAAAAGGCTTAGTGAGATTGACTTAATACAAACCTGATAAAGCTAATAGAGATGGACTAGTACTACTAGGGAGGAAATGGAGAAAGTTATAGTACCAGCCATCAAAAAAGTTTCTGGACTGAATAGATTAACTGGTGAAATCTTTATATTTTTAAGGAAAATTGAATTTCCATGTATAAAATAAATATGGAACGAAGTTATGGAACAAGGTTAGACTACAAAGCAGGCATTCTAAAACACTGATTAGCTATAACCTTATTATGACTATATTTGATGGAAAATGTTAAAAACTGTGCTAGAAAATATAATTAAGAGTCTAATACAGCACTGTTACCAAGTAAGAAATGTGAAGATGTTGCAATATAAAGAAATTTATTGTTATACTTTACCAGATTTAATTGAAAAGAAGAAATGAAAGAGATGTTACCACTGATAGCATAGGAATACGAAGGATCGTAAAAGACTGCTAAACACAGTTAAAGCTAATAAATTGTGATAACCTAGAAGAAACAGGTGTTTTTCTAAAAACATAATCAGCCAAGACTGGGTCAATGTGATATAGAAAACCTGAACAGGCTGAACACTAGAAAAGAGATTGAATCAGTAATCAAAACCTTCCAACAAACAGAAGTCAAGGACCAGATGGCTTCCCAGTGAATTCTACCAAACCTTCTTAATACTAGTTCTTCTCAAACTCTTCCAAAAAAACAGAAGAGGAGGGAACTCCTCCAAACTCATTTTATGAGGCCAGCAGTACCCTGATACCAAAACCAGGCAAGGATGCCACAAGAAGAGAAAATTATAGGCAATATCTCTGATGAACAGAGTTGCAAAAATCCTCAACAAAATGTTAACAAACTGAATTAAACAATATACCAAAAGGATCAGACAACATGATCAAGTGAGATACATGATCAAGTGGGATTTATTCCATGAATGCAAGGATATTTCAGCATTCACAGATTAGTCATTGTGACATACCACATTAATAAGATGAAGGGTAAAAATCATATGATCATTTCAATATATGCAGAAAAAAGCATTTGACAGTATTCATCATTTATTTATGATAAATATTGAACAAAGTGGGTGTAGAGAGAATGTACCTCAACAGAATAAAGGCCCAAATCATATATCTGAAATATATGACAGGCCCACAGCTAACTTCATACTCAGTGGTGAAAAGATGAAAGCTTTTCCACCAAGATCAGGGATGCCCACTGACAAGGTGCCCAGTCTTGCCACTTTTTCAACATAGTTGGAAGTCCTACCAGAAAATTCGGCAAGCAGAAGAAATAAGAGGCAACCAGGTCAAAAAGGAAGAAATAAAGCCATCTCTGTTTGCAGATGATATATTATATATAGAACGCTCTAAAATGTCTACCAGAAAGAACCATTATAACTAATAAATGTATTCAGTAAAGTTGCAGGTATAAAAATTAGTACACAAAAATCAGTTATATTTCTATATGCTAATGTACTATCAGAAAAAGAATTAAGAGGAGAATCCCAATTATAACTTTATCAAAAAGAATAAAATATCTAGGAATAAATTTAACCAAGGAGGTAAAAGATATGTACACTGAAAACTCTTAAGACATTGATGAAAGAAGTTGAAGAAGACACAAAGGAAAGATACTCTATGTTCATCAGTTGGAAGAATTTATACTGTTAAAATGTTCCTAATACCAAAAGCAATCTACAGATTTATGGTAATCTCTATCAAAATTCCAACGACTTTTTTTCCCCTCAGAATTGAACCAAAAAGTCCCCAAATTTGTATGGAACCACAAAAGACCTAGTATAGCAAAAGCAATCTTGAAAAAGAACAAAAGTGGAGGCATCACACTCTTTAATTTTAAACTATTGGGTTGGCCAAAAAGTTCGTGTTTTTTTTCTGTAAAATAAAATACACATTTTTCATTTTCACCAATAACTTTATCGATTTGGATATTTTGAATTTGTAGGCTCTTTCCTGCGTGGTATAACGTTGATTGTTCTCAATTAATGTCTCAATTTGATGGCTACCAGCTTCAACTGGTCTACCCAACTGGAGCATCATCCAGCGAGAAACCTTTAGCACAAAACTTCGCAATCCACTTTTGACACCTTAGATCAGTTACAGCACCTTCTGCATTCACTGAACAAATCTTTTTTATTTATTTGTTTTTGTGTGTTCAGTTGTGTTTTTACCTTTCTTGAAATAATAAAGCGTAAGAAAATGTTGCTTATTTTCTTCTATCTTCAATATCAAAATGGCTATACAAAAATTCACCCGTTTTCATAAGTTTTTTTTTTTAATGCAAGCTGATATGACAGCTGTCACAATACATTCTAACAAAATTGTTTCAAATGAAGTTAAAGACAAGGAAGTGCTGATAGAAGCACCTTACCAAAAAAAAAAAAAAAAAAAAAGAATTTCTGGCCAACCCATATATTACAAAGTTATAGTAATCTAACTGGTATGGTACTGGCATAAAAACAGCCTTATGGATTAATGGGACAGAATAAAGAGCTCAGAAGTAAACCCATTTGTATATGGTCAGTTATTTTACAACAAAGGAACTAAGAATATGCAATGGGGAAATGATAGTCTCTTTAATACATGTTGTTGGGAAAACTGGACTGCCACAGTCCAAAGAATGAAACTGGACCATTATCTTACACCATACACAAAAATTAACTCAGAAAGGATTAAAGGCTTAAACATAATACCTGAAACTCCTAGAAGAAAACATAGGCAGTAAGCTTTCTGACATAGACAGTGGTTATGAATTTTTTAATCTGATGTCAAAAGCAAAAGCAGCAAAACCAAAAACAAATGGGACTACATTAAATGAAAAGGCTTCTATACAGCAATGGAAATCATCAGCAAAGTGAACAGGCAACCTACTGAATTGGAGAAAATATTTGCAAATCATATATCTGAAAACGGGTTAATATCCAAAATATATAAGTAACTTACACAACTCAATAGCAAAAACCAAGCAATTAAAAAATGGGCAGAAGATCTGAATAGACTTTTTTCCAAAGAAGAGATACAAATGGCCAACAGGTAAATGAGAAGATGCACAATATCCTTCATTAATTATCAGGGAAATGCAAATTAAAACCATAATAAGATAGGATTTCACAGCTGTTAGAATGACTGTTATCAAAAAGAAAAGAAATAAGTGTTGGTAAGGATGTGGAGAAAAGGAATTGCACTGTTGGTGGGAATATAAATTTATACAGTTACTATGGAAAACAATATGGAGGTTCTTCAAAAAATTAAAAATACAACTATGCAGCAATTCCTCTTCTGGGTATTTACCCGTAGAAAATTAAAGCACTAACTCAAAAAAGAATTATGAACCCCCACGTTCACTGCAGTATTGTTTATAATAGCTAAGATATGGAAACATTCTAAGTGTCCATCAGTGGATGAATGAATAAAGAAAATGTGGTATATACAAACAATGGAATGTTATTCCACCATAAAAAAATGAAATCTTGCCATTAGGGACAACATGGATGGACATTACGGGTATTATGCCAAGTGAAATAAGTGGGAGAGGGAAAGACAAATAATGCATAATCTCACTTATATGTGAAATCTAAAACAAAACAAAAAGCTAAGCCTTCGATACAGAACAGATTGATGATTACAGGGTGGGAAAAATGAACCGTTTTCATTTTGGTGTTTTTTTTTTTTTAATTATTAGTGTAAGTTAAATTTTTAAATGCTGATTAATGAATCCTAGTATGACTGTTGCATGACAGAACATGTTAAAGACTGCTGGCAAATATGGTTGAAAGTCTGTCACTGCCAAATAAGAAATGCAAAGGTATTTATATAACAAGAGTTATTGCTTATACTTTATCAGATTTAATTGGAAAAAAGGAAGCTGTAATGTAGTTTGATCAAATTCACTGCTCACTCCTAATCAAATTAATTCAATATGAAAATAAGATTGCTTTCATAGCCTCATATAAAGAATAATCTTAATTAACCAATACCAAATTAATAAGAAAAATAACCTTATAAAACTGGTTATCATTAGTATGTAATTCAACTTCAGTTTAACATTGCTACGTAGCATGGCCTGTGGATTGGTGCCAGTGCATGAATTTATTGTTACTTTTCAAGAGATTAGTACAAGAATTGAGATGAAATGTTTAGAAACTTTAAGAGCATTTTGACAGAGTAATCTTACGTTTTTTTAGAACTAGAAATGAAACACTTGGGCTTGTGTTTTGTATTTTGGGCTTAAATTTCATTTTTCTAGTTATTTTTTCCTAGTTTTTAAAGTAGTTTATGTATTGCTTTTATTTACTTAGTGCTTATTTTTATTAGTATTTTAATAAGATGTCTTCCTGTGATGAATTAGAAGTAGGAAAAACTGATCCTTCTCATAGTTATTTTTAGAAGCATTACTGTGAATCATGCCACTAATGTACGAGTATAAACATTTAAAAGAAACAACTATCACTCTCCATGGATGATATGATACTATTATTGAGAGGAGTGAAAAGTCCACTAGAAACTTGTATAACTAAGAAAAGTTCAGTAAAGTGGTTGCATTTAGAGAATATTGTAGTTTAGGTTTGGAATTCTTTTTCAGTATTATTATAATAAAATTGTAAGATTTCATTGTGTAGAACCGTATTTACTGTTTCATTGATGAGAACTAACTGTTCAAGGATCACTGGCAGATTCAAATTGTGCAGAGATTGGTAGGAGGTATAAAATATAGTTAATATTGTGAAAAACAGAAAGAATAACTTTACTTTTTATAAACTTTGATGAGAATGTTATCAAATAGGAAACTGTGTGAGTGGATATTTTAATCTGAATGTTAATATGTATGTTAATTCAGTTAATAACTTAGACTATTTTCTTTCAAAATTATTGTTTTAGAGAACAGAATCTTGGCATTTTCTTCCTCAAGAAATCGACTCTTCCCACACTTCGGATACAACCCAAACCAGGTTTAAAGTGAGAGAGGAAGGGACAGAAATGACAGACTTCCCCTCTGTGGAGGAAGGTATATTGACCCAATCAGAAAATCAAGTAAAGGAACCCAACAGAGATCTCTTTTGTTCTCCATTGCTAGGTAATGCCTCTTTTTTTAAAAAACTAGTAATAATACCTCTATAAAATCCTTATTTTTGGAGGACTTCAAGTCCTGCATTTAAATCCTTTCTTTTTTTTTTTTAATTTATTCTTTAATGTATTTTTTCCATTATCATTTATCCCCCTTATACCACACCCCCACCCTTTCCCCGCAATCAACACACTGTTGTCTGTGTCCATGAAATCCTTTCTTGATTTGAGGAGCTCTGTAGCACACTACTCAAAGATATTAGGCTTATTTTTGGATTTCCACATAGGCCGACTGGTGTAGTTAATGTTAAATGTGCAGTTGACTCTCATTTTACAATACTCTTGCTCACAGAAGGCAGAAAATTGATAACTTCCTCTCTGGTGGGTATGCCTCCTCAGTCCTGAATTTGTGGAATTTTTTCTTGGGCTAAACCATGTATTATCCATTGACTACTCAGTAAATACAAACAAAAAAACAAATGTTCACACTTACCTTACTAGATTCTTAGAATTGATTACAGCAAATGTCATTTGCAGTTTTCAGACCTAAAAATTGAAATTAAAGAGGTTAAATGACTTGTCTGAGGTAGATCTTAACTGCTTTCCTTTTCTGTATATGGAACTGATTTATTAGCTCTTTACAAAAGGTAATCTTTAAGTTCCTTTCAAATCATCAAAGTAGGAGAATAGAATAAATTGTACTGTACTACTTTGGATCATATGAGTGTTTTGTTGGATATATATGAGAGCTAAACCAATATAGTGATTTAAATTTTTTCATGCCTAAATCATAGTTCAGACAAATATTATTTTGTTATTCAGTTGTTTTTTTTCCAAAAACTGAAAAAATACAACCACCAGATGTTTTGGAATTAGCTTTTGTGAGAGAAATGGCTTCAACCATGAAGTTGTCTTGTAGGAGTTTTTTAGAGGCGCATGAATAGGAGATAAGTTCTTTTAAAATATAAGTTAATGCTATTGTAATCAAAATATTAGTGCCAATGTATTTTATGATGTAGATCATCAAAGTCAATTTTAATTTTAGTTTCACATTTTAAGAAAGATGTTGACATTAGTGTTCCTCTGTGGGAGGAGACGACTATGATAGTAGATATAAGAGAAGACTTTGCTATGATCAGGTATTCAAAGAGCTGTCGTGCCAAAGAGGAAGCAATTTATTTTCATTCATCATTTATTTAACAAATATCTAAATGCTTTTTGTATGTTTGATGCTAGGGATATATAAATGAAAGCTATCCCCTTTTGGGAAGACAATCCGGTCAACAAAAAATAACAGTACCATGTATGAGTACTTTAATGGTCTATAGCAGGAGTGTGCAAACTACAGGCCACAGGCCAAGACCTGATGTTTTTACAAGCTAAGAATGGGGTTTCTTTTGCATTTTTAAAGGATTATAAAAACAAAAAAAGTGTATGTGACAGAGATCACATATGGGTAACAAAACCTACAATATTTACTACTTGGCCTTTTATAAAAATATTTGTGAATTCCTAGTCTAGAGGTTAAAATGAGAATATATATCTTATAAAAAAGTTGTTTTAGACTTGATATGAGAAAGAACTTGCCCTGACCAGTGTGGCTGAGGTAGGTGGACATTGTCCCGCAAGGTGAAAGGTTGCCACCCTTCATTTCCCAGTCAGGACATATGCCTGGGTTGCGGGTTCATCCCGGGTTGGGGCATGTGCAGCAGGCATCTGATCGATGATTCTCTCTCACACTGATCTTTCTCAAAACCCTTTCTCCCTCCCTTCCACTCTCTCTAAAAATAAATAAATCTTTTAAAAAATAAAGGACTTACTACAAGAGCCATTTATTAGTAGAAAGGCCATCTAACAAAAAAAGTGACCTTATGTCATGGCAAAATGTCAAGTAAAACCCTCTAATAAAAGAATTTCAGCATTTGGTAGATTGTGTGTCTGGCTTCTAAAATCTTTTGTAACGAAGTTTTATAACTGTCTTTTCTTTTACTATAGATAAAGCAGAATATTTTTGATTATTAGAGCAGATCCCTAAATCTGATGGCCAAGGAAATTTCATCATTGCTATTTTGTTATGCATGAGTATTAGTCATTGTAGGGTATATTAGTCTTACTAATGACAAATGTCATAATGAAAACTGGTGCCAAAATAGTTGGTTGTCTTAAAAAAGAGTGATCCAAACTATCAACAGTGTCCAAATGTGAGGAAACATGGGGGCCTTTGTTAAAAAAACCTTAATGATTCTTAGAGGGATGAAGAACTTTGGAAAGTTATGAAATCAAGGTTATGAAGGTTTATGCCTGAGTCTCAAAGCCAGGGCCAAAGAGGAAATACAAGTTAGTCCTTGGTGGTAAAGGTTTCTTATTTTTAATTAATTGGTTCAGTAAATAAGTAATACATTTATTTTGAATGCCTACTAAGTGTAGCAGGTATTTTGCTAGGCACCAAAGATAGAGCTGTGAATAAAGCTCACATGGAGTTTTCAATCTAGGTGGGAAGTGGACAGACCAAAAATTAAAACAAGAATATTATCATTGTGATAAAGGAAGGTGTACAGTTGTTACAGAAATTCTGACATCAAGAAAATAAACTGTAGCAACAGTATTATTACATGCAAATTGAAAGAACCATTTAGTTTTAGCAAAATACCACCCATCCAGTTAAATTAATATTAAATAACAGTTGGTTGTGGAGATTTTTTCTATTAATATTATTTGCATTGTAGTTGTGTAATTGCTATAAGGAATAAGGAGCTTATACCTATTTTATACATATTCAAGTGCATTCTCATAAGAATTATTTAAGCTGGCATTCAGAAATTCGCAAAGATTTTTTTTTCTCTTTAATAGTTCTCAAACGCTTTGGTCACAGGACTACTTTACACACTTTAAAGTTACTGAGGACTCTAAAGACCTTTTGTTTAATGTAGGTTATTGCTATTTTTCCATATTAGAAATTAAGACTCAGCAATTTAAAACAAGATTAACTCATTGAAATAACTATATTGCATTTAACATAAATTACATAGTTTTTTAGAATAATAGCTATACTTCAAAACCAAAACATTTAGAAGACTATCATTGCTTTACCTAAAAAAATTTGCATTGTCTGACTTAATAGAAAACAGGTAGTTTGTGATATCTGCTTCTGCATTCCATATCATACATACCACTTCTGGAAAATTCCACTATACCCTTGTGAGAGAATGAGAGTGAATAAGGCAGAAGATATCTTAATATTATTTTGAGTATAATTTTGACCCTAGGCACCTCCTGAGAATGTCTTAGGGATGCCAAGGAGCCCATGGACCACACTTTGATATAGGATGGAAAGAAACACTCAATGGTTAAGAGCACTTCCTAAAAATTAGTGTTTAGGTTCAGATCCTACTTTGGCTCTTATACTCTTTGAATGTGGACAGATTACTTTATATTCCTTAAGTTTTATAATCATGTTTTCTCACCTATAAGGCAAATATAATAATACTCATCCTTCAGAGTTGTCATGTGGATTAAGTGCTGTATGGTAGGTTTAGTGCTTAGCCCTTGACAGGTAGCTGTTGCTGCTGTTAATGTTACCATACTAAAGGTTGTAGAAACTTCCAGATGGCAGCATGTTTAGATTCTTTAAAGCATTATGCGAGTAAGGTAAACAGTTAATTTTTAGTATTTCCAACATTTTCATATTTGAAACTTTGCAGTCATACAAGACAGCTTTGCTTCTCCTGATTTGCCTTTGCTGACATGTTTGACACAAGACCAAGAGTTTGGGCCTGATTCCTTATTTCACCAAAGTGAATTAGATTTTGCGGCTCTGAGGTAGGATGATTTATTTTTTTATTTACATGTAACCTTTGTACTCTTTTGTGTTCTTAGTTGTTACTAATATTAATGACTTCAGCCTAAGGCGAGACTTTGGGGTAGGGGTTAGATAGCCTCAGCTTATACTCTGAAGGTAACGTGGCCCTGAGTTAAGTAAGACATGATGCATATCAATTTGGCATAGTAACATATGTATGTGTAAAGATGAGCCAGGTTACTGTAGTGTATTTAAAAACAACTTCTAATATATTCTAGCATTTCAGGCATATTTTAATTAGAAGGCACACTGAGTTTTTCTTTTAGTAAATCTCCTGCTTTGCTTCCCCATCACCCAACCTCATTTTGTAAAAAGCATTTATTTCATGGTCACTAACTTGTTTGGCACTCTTCATTTTGGTCAGCTGATATTGAATGAGCTTCATTTGATAGGTGTGAATATGAAGTAACAAGATTTTTCTAACTGATATGTCTAGATTAATAATTATTCTAAATTAATACCCTTTAGAATAGTCATAATGGGAGACAAGTCTGGAATTATCCAAGAATATAAGTTTTTCTCTTTTAGAACAAAAAAAAAAACCCAAACCTTAAATTAAAAACTGTAGGTGTTTACTGAGTAAAAACATCTGCTCTTCTGCTATGTATTACTTTAAAATTACTTTTATGAAAAGTGTTTTATAACAACAACCCACCAGTGATTACATTACATTGTATTTTGGGGGAGGGAGCATGGGAGGTACTCTTAAACCACGTAAGTGGTTTTCAAGAGCATAATAAGTAACTAGTAAAAGAACTAATGCAGGTTAAATGAATTTTAAATTATGTTAGGCGATAAATTAAACATTTTAAATAGTAAAGTTTGAATTTTTCATTTAAAGAATCATTTTTTTGCCAATATGAAATCACTCGTTTTTTGGCAATAATGGTGCAGAGTAGCCTGAGAAAATATCAGGGTCAACAGGATGGTAGTTCACCTTCTGTTTATAAAATATTTGCTTTCTTCAGTCATTAACCACTTTAAAGGAATTTGAAATTAGAACTTTGTTTTTCAACACACTTTTCAAATAATCTTGATATCAATGACATAATTTTGTATTTTTTATGTTGGTATTTTAAAAACTGTTTTAAATGTGTAACTTTTTTATTTTTAACTGTATATTTTCAGGGGAATTCCTGGTAAGTCTGAAGACACAGAATGGTTTTCTCGACCGTCAAAAGTGAGTGAGGCTTTATTCCAGGCAGCCTCAGAAGTAGCTTCAGACTTAGTTAACAGTCACTTTAGTGTATCCCAGCACACACTCACAGGGAGTACAGTTGTTGACTCTCAGAGCTCTTTTTTACATTCTGAGCAAGGAAACAAAGAAGAGACTATTTCATCTGATAGAGTTGATGAACCGAAAACCCCCAAAGACTCTGATAGTTATGATGCTCTTTGTTCATATATGCCATGGAAGATACAGGAAGTTACACAGGAGCCAGAAACCACTTTAGCTAATAAAGATCAACTTTCTTTTTCAACTTCATCTGATACAAGTGATGAATATGTAACCCCTAAAGAAAGTGGCAGTTTTGATGCTTGTTTATATGTGCAGTATTGGAAACAGGAAGCTTTACAACAGTCAGAAAAATATTTAATCTGTAAAGACCATGACTCTTGCTTGGATTCATCTGACACAGTTGATGAAAATAAAACTTCTGAGGGAAGTGGCAATTTTAGTGCCCCCTTTTCATGTATGCCATGGAGCAAACAGGGAGCTTCATACCGTCAAGAAACATGTGCAGTCAGTAAGGATCATGTTTCTTTTCCACATGAAGTAGCTCCTCATTTTAATAATAATATGTCATATTCTTTCTTGCATTGCTTGTTGGAAAGGAGAGGAAAAAGTGTTGCCTTGATGTCTGATAGTCATTATTTTGAGAGTATTTATTTAAGGGCTCCAGCTGAGAATGAGGTAAAAAAAAAACGAGTTTCTTTGGAGAGTTATGAAAGAAATGAAGAAGGTCTGGGGAAAGAATTATCTCAATGTTTTGAACTGAAGGAAAATAGTAATACTGTAGTATTTTCAGAGGTATGTCCCAGATCTTCAGAAATACAGTATATTGGGAATGTTGTAGTTCCTGATAATTCTGTAAAAGTTTCAGAAACACAAATACTCTCCAGGGAACATGACATCTCTAAGGTAGAGACTTCTGGTGATCCTCTTCAGACTATTACATTCACCTTGGATGAGACATCAGAGCAACTGTATATTCAAGAGGAAAGAAACCAAAAGGCAAGTGCTGCTTTTGGTGGGAAAAATGTTAATGCTACTGAGAATGTAGCCTTTGAGGCAGTTATTGCCTCTGTTGAGCCTTCCAAGAAAGAGAATACAGTAAATGAAATCCACCCTGACATCGATAAATCTTTAACAAATTATAGCCAAGATAGTGAACCAAAAAATTCAGATCTTTTCTTGTTAAATTACAATGATGCAAGCTCGCTCTTTGATAAATTTTGTCATCCACACTGTCAGTCTACTTCTGGGGTGCTTGAACCAGCAGCTTCAAAACCATTGTTGCATAAAACGAATGATGATGTTAGCTTCCTGTACTGGCATACTAACATAAAATCACTCCCCAGTGCTCCTCAGGAAATGTTCATTAGGCCACTTTCTTCTGCTTCTTTAAGTGAAAAATCTCACAGCCAGGTTTTTGGTCTTTGCAAAACACAAAGCCCTATATTTCAGTGTGATGTACACAATGAACCATTTCTTCCCATTGCAGAGAAGTCAGGATCTTCAAACATTATTTACCCACTGAAAGTATCGACTTCAGATTCTTTGTTTTTGCAAGATTTAAAGCAGCAAGCCTTTGAAGAAGTTGCAGATTCTTCAAACTATATTTTGGGTAAGAATGCAAATTCTAATCATGTCATTGAAGCTCCATTAGCAGCTATAGGAAGCAGGTTTTTAGCAAACTTGGTGGCATATGATGCAAAGTCACAAGGTGCTTTACCAATGATCAGTGATGCATCATTAATTGCCATTGGCCAGGAGACATTGCTGAAAGCTGATATAGGCCTAGGTGAAATTCCTCAGCCTATGGGAGCCAAGTCCAGTTTTACGATACATACAATTATGCAAAATGACTCCTATCTTGTAGAAGATCTGCAGGGGAAGTCTGAATCTGACATCGGTACTCTGGGTGATGATACTGAATGCTGTAGCCTAGATGAAAATGCTGTCGTATGCAATAAAAGATCTACTGAACTACAAAGAGAGGTGAGATACAGTAAGATGATAGTTGGGGAAAGCATGTTCTTTTCCAGTATCGTTTCAGGAAATGGCATTGTTATTTGTTTTTATTTTTTTCCTATTTCTCAGATGTGTGACCAAGGTGTCTTGACTGGTGAGTGCATTGAGCTAGCATGTTTAGAAAATTTGCTTGATGATCTAGAGATTTGTGACAGCTCCTTGCCCTGGCAGTCTGCTTTACAAGAACCATCCAAGGAAGAGAGCAGTTTTGAAGAGCCTGTAAGTTTATCCATTTGACATTTCTTATGGGGCAGTGAAAGAAATATTTTAGTTGAAAAATGGGGATAAAGGTGCCCATTTATGTCCTCTCATACCAACTTATGACTTGTAATCTGGTCTTTATCTGATATGTAGGGGTATGCTTTATCAATTTGTTAGAGATTGGCATAAAGGAAATGTTTGTATTTTGTAGACTGTAAGACTTAGTGAGCTCTGTGATGTCTTAGACAAAGCCATCCTTTGGCATGCCTCAGCCTTTCATCTTGAGGCATCCTAACTCTTCCAAGTTGTGCCAGCAAGAACCTTTGGGACAGGCCCTGGCCAGGAAGCTCAGTTGGTTAGAGCATCAGCATGATACACCAAGGTTTCAGGTTTGATCCCTGACCAGGGCGTGTGCAAGAATCAACTAATGAATGCACAAATAAGTGGAACAACAAATCAGCGTTTCTCTTTCTCTCTCTTCCTCTTTCTTTCTGAAATCAGTAAAAAAAAATTAAAAAATAAAGATCCTTTAAGGCAAAGTTAAAAAGAGTAGACTTGTTCACAGAGACATTGATACTTGCTTCTCCGCCGCCTCCTCCCCACCCCCACCCTTCAATGTACAAGCTTTGGAATAAGCCCTGGAAGTATTCAAGCATTTCTTTTTAGACACTCCTGAAGGATTTGACTTCAGAGGTAGCTTGAAATTTATAAGAACCTGTATTTCCCCAGGAAGGGATACTGAGGTGCTTACTATCCAAACTAGTCAGTGTCCCCAAAGGGAACTAACTAACCCCTTTCCACATGAGCAACATACTTTTGTGTAATTACATTCCCTTATCCTCTATATCATCATCATTGTGTGTGTACTAGAAGATTATAACTTTGAGGGTAATAACAATTCTGTTTTAGTGTTTCTTTTATACAAGGCTTCATTTTCCTGGGTCTTTGGATTCTTTGGCTTTAATGTCCCTCTGGTCCCATTGCTCATCTTCTTTTGTCTGATACTGTCAGCTCTCACCTGGGTCCCACTTCCTTATAATATATACTAATATCCTATATATTTTTGTATATTATCTGTAGATAATATATGTGCTCTAGTTAATGTTACTTTACTTTCCCTTCCCTGTTTCCAGGTATATGATTAGTATGGTATTAGAAAACTTCTAGTTACAGTTGCAACTATTAGACCTTTAGGTTCAGACAGTTGATAGGAGGAAATAACAAAGATATTGTGAACTTTTCCTCTTTATTTTTAATTTGTTGTGTTTAAAAAGGATTTTAATATGGAGAACTGTTAGGTTAGTTTTATTTTCTTCATTCTAAAGTAGGCATTGTTTAATTCTAATTTTCAGTCTAATAACTTTGGGGATGAAAGTGGTAATTTTGTGCTCAAATACTATGCTAAGTCTTACTTATAAACATCAATTTGTTTAGTCCTTTTGTCAATCCTGTTAGGTAGGACTGTTGGGAATTATTATCATCCCCATTTTTACAATTGACAGAGTTAAGGAACTTGCTCATGATCATTTAGTAGGTAGGATACTCTAACTTAAAACTAACCTTATTTGTACACTTAATCAGTATGCCATAAACTGCCTCCCTGTTTGGCTATTTCTCAGTGAAACCAAGACCAAGATTTTGCATTATTTTGGCAAGAGTATAGGTTTTGAAGTTAGTTTCTCTAAGGGTGAGGAACAAAATCTGATCAATTTTAAACTTAGTGTTTCTGTATTTTTGATAATACCACTTTTACAACTTGTATCAACTTTTTCATATAGATAAAATATATTTTTAAAAAGTGAAAATATATTCAGTTAATAGTGATGCATTGAGATTAACTCTGACCACAGTCCAAATTTTATTTGCCCTATGGTGAAAAGTCATATATGTTTATGTACTAACATAATCCAAAATGGTTACTAATTCCTTTTTTTATTTTTTATTTTTGTATTGATTTTAGAGAGAGGGGATGAGAGAGTGAAAAAGAGGTAAAGAAACATCAGTATATGAGATAGACATTGATCAGATGCCTCTTGCACACCCCCAGCTGGGGACCTGGCCTGCACCCCAGGCATGTGCCCTGACTGGGAATTGAACCAGTGACCTTTCAATTCATAGGCCAGCACTCAATCCACTGAGTTGCACCAACCAGGGCACTAATTCCTTTCTTAAGAAGGACTTGTTGGGATCTGATAAAACTTTAGGAACTCTTTTTCAGCATTTAGCCTTTACTTCACTATCAATTTATATTTCCCACTACTTTTGTTTCAAGAAATACGAATATTTTTGTTTTTTGGTAACCAATCACAGATACAGTTTTTTGATGCTTTTATTGTTCTTTTAAACATTTGTGGATTTCTTGAAAATGTTCCTGTTTTCTCTTCCCTCCTTTCCTCTTTTCTTTCCACAACACACCTCTTCCTGTTAAAAAATTCTTGCACCATAGCTTAAATTCTGCGGTGATCATACTATTAATAAGGACAAACCTCTGAGTAATAAAGCGCTTCTAGACCTCCTGTCCATAATTTTGTATACAGATAGATTTCCAGACCCGTACAACAATTAATAGAGTCTTCTCGGAATTGACCAAACAAAATAAGACCTGGATATAAATTTAGGAGGATTGAGAATATAATCTTAAGGAACTGGTATAACTGATTAGTACTTATTTTCATAAAAGTAAGGTTTGTACTTGTAATTTAACAGATGAAATCTAAAATTAATCTTTTTTTAAATCTCTTTTCATAGGTAGGTCATTCTAATACGGATGTTAATCAATCTTTTTCATCTGTGTTGCCTCCATTTGTTCCTCATGAGCCAAATAGAGAGTTGGAGTATCACTCTTCAGATCTCAGAATGTTGAGGGTGTCTCCTGAGATTGTGCCAAAGACTCTCAAACATTTATCAGGTACGTAGACAAGGAGATACTGTGTCCTTATGGCTAGCTTGTTAAAAATATCTTGCTGTGGCTGATTTTTTTTTTTTTTTGAACTCCTGCAATAATGTTAACTTTTGATTAAGTGTATTTATAAATGCCCAGGTCCCTTTTATTAGATGAACCATTTGATTTTTCATCACATTCTTGATGACAGTGTTTAGAACTGAATTACATGGAGAATTCTAAGTTAGATTCAGTTTGTTTCTGTATTCCTTTCTGTGATTTGAAGGGAAAAAATTAATAGAGCACAAGAGAGGATAAGAGTAGATACAAAATAAGTTTGTAGAGAGGAAATTGAGAGCTCAGTTTTGAAGCAAAAAGCAAGATTATCTGCTGTGGAGGTGGGGACTGGTGGAGGTGCTAGGGGCTTGGAGGAGAGTGGCTTGGTGAAGGCTCAGAATTTATGTTGAAGTGAGTAGGAGATGGAGCTGACTAAGGATGAGCAAAAGGGTTGGCAGGTAGTTCTGAGAAGTCAGCTGAGACTAGAAATGATTTTATAATGTTGTCAGCCTATATAGTATCTCTAATTTGCCTCTACTAAAACTCAAGAATGGAGAAGATGAATTACAGGAATGATCCTTGGTTGGGAAATTCAGGTGTGGTGGAAAGGTAACAGTGGAAGGGAATCAGTGAGAGAAGAGTTGATCAGCTAGCATAGGAAAAGAAAACAAGTCAGGAGTTGTTAGTCTGGGAGAAAATAAAGGAACAGCGATTATTTATGAAGTTGAATACATGAGGTGGGCATAAGTTACTGAGAGAGCCAGAAGAACGTGTAATTTTGATCGGAGTGAGTTAGTACATTTAAATGTGAATCAGTTTGAAGATTCATTGCTTGGCCCTGAGGGGATTGGATAGTAGAAGTTGAATAAAGATCACTGGGGTAAAGTAAATTGAGAGTTTTGAGGCTAGGTTATTGGATTGATTATGTTTAAATATTTTACAATTTTGGGGGAGATTTAGGGTTTAGGGAAAGCCTGTGTACCAGACCTTGAAGTCTTAAAAGTGAGTGGGAGCAACTGGGAGTTGCAAGAACATGATAGATTGAGGATGGTATTGAAGCTTTGTGTGGCCTAAGCCAAAGAAAGGTGGCTTTATTTTTACATTTTTTGGTTTTTTGAGGAAGATAGAAAATATTGGCAAAAAAATCATTGTGAGCGGTAGTTAAATGTCAACTTCCATCTCTCCTTGTTTCTAGAGTCATGGTATAGGGAAGAGGACTGCATAGACAATAATATTATCAAGAGGGAATTCAAGTGTTTTTTAAAGACAAAAAATTGGAGAGTATTCCCTGAAAAAAATGAGAAAGGTTGAAATAAGAAATAACAGAATGGTTTCCAAGAGCACAGGGGAGGAAGGAGTAAATAGTGGGAGGAGTCAAGGTAAGAAGAACAGCAGGAATAGACTATGGGGACAAGAGACTGGTAATGTTTACATTTTGTCTGGGCCAGTAATTTCAGTGATAAGCATAGTTGAAATATGTGGCCTCAAATATGCTAACTTTATCAGAGGTAATTTTGATGTCAGAACTGAGAGTCGCGGCTCATACCTGGTCTAGTCGTAGAAATGAAATGAAGACTTCCATAGGATTTGAGAAGGGCATCATATCTAAAACTCTTTTTATGGTTTTCTTTTACAAATTATAGCACACCTTGGTAAAGAATTCTCAGATTGCAGTTCACCTTCCCCTCTCCACCTTATTTCCTTTGAAATTGTCCTCAAGTTCTCGTGTATTTTTTTGTTTTTTGTTTGTTTGTTTGTTTGTTTTCTCTTTGCAATTCAGTTTGGGAAGCTTCTGTTGACCTAACTTAAAGCTCACTGATTCATTCCTCAGCATGTGCAGCCTACTGATGAGCCCATCAAAGTCGCCTCTCATTTGTTACAGTGTTTTTGATTTCTGTCATTTCCTTTTGATTCTTTCTTACAGTTTTTATCTTTCTGTTTATATTTCTCATCTTTTCTTGCACATTGTCCACTTTTTCCATTAGAGCTGTCAGCATATTTAATCGTAGTTGCTTTCTTTCTTTTTTTTTTTTTTTTTTTAAATCCTCACTAAAGGATATGCTTATTGACTTTACAGAGAAGGGAATGAGGGAGGGGGGAAGGAGAGGGCAAGAAACACTGATGTGAGAGAGTAACATCAATCAGTTGCCTCTCAAAAATGCCCTAACTGGGGACTAAACCCACAGGCTAGGCATGTGTCCCAATCAGGAATTGAACCCATGTCTTTTCTGTTTCTGGGATGACACTCCAACCAACTGAGCCACACCAGCCAGGGCTAATCATAGTTAACTTTAAACAGCTGGTCTGATAATTCCAAACTGTCAGGTTCTGTTGCTTGCTTTGTCTCCTAAGAATGTTTTTTGACTTTTAACATGCCTTGTAATTTTTTTGTTGAACATTGGACATGATGAATTAAGTAAAAATACTGAGGCAAATAGGCTTTTGGTGTGAGATTTTAAGTTTATTTGGCCAGGAGTTAGTCTGTATTATTATTAGCTATAACTGTGGTGTCAGAAACTAAAATTTCCTCTGGTGCCCTTGTTTTATCTCCCATGTTGTCTTTTGGTTTCCCTTGAGAACCCTTCTTAAACAGAGTCTGAGGCTTGCTTGCATTCTTTCATCTGTAATCTCCTATTTATACAGGAGCCCTATTGATGTAGAGTTCCTATGTGAAGGGGAGAGATTGCATTATAACAACCCAGTGATTAGGTCTCAGTCTTTTGGTGAGTCACTTTTCTTAGGCTCTTACTTTTGCAAGTGCTTCTCAGCATTTTCCCCTTCTTAAGTGAAACAGGAAGGCCTAGAGTTTGATGTTTCCCTTCTCCCAGATTGGTTAGGCCCTGATAAAAGCAAGTCAGTTAGGCTCTGGTAATTTAGTTTTTCTTGAGGTCAGGCTATTGTTACAGAGACCAGAGCTTTGGGATTTTTAAAGTGGTTACTTCCCAACACCCGCCCAGTCCCGCCCCATAACCATAAGGGTATTTTTGTCCCATCACAATCCTGACAGCCTTGTGGGTCTCTGGCAAATAAAACTCATGAAAATGGGGTTCCTCTTTAAGGCTGGGCCCCAGGAGTTTTTAATCTCTAACATGAATTCATGTTTAGCCTTCAGCAGTTTGCCAGTTCCAGTTTTTTCCTACCAATTCCTGGTTCCACAGGCTTCTGTTCCACATAGTTTCTGAATCTCTGTGTTTGCCTGTCTCTACAGTTTTCAGGGTGGTGGTTTACCTTGTAAACTTAGTTTTCTGATGGGCCCAGAAAGAGTTGTTGATTTTCGGTTTGGTCAACTCTTGTGAGAAGAGAATGACTTCTAAGCTCTTTTACACGTTGGATAAGAAAAATCTCTTTTTAAAAATGTATTCAGATAGATGATACAGACAACTAAGCTAGAGCTTTGGAAGGCAATAATTATATTTAGAATGAAAATTTAAACCATTAGCTTTTTAAAAAATCTTAACTGAGATATAATTCACATACCATACAATTCACTCATTTAAATTGCACAATTCACTGAGTTATAGAAACATCACTACACTCTAATTTTAGAACATTTTATACACCTAGGGAAACTCTGTACCTGTTAGCAATTGCTCCCTATTCTACACCTCCCTGAGGACTCCCAGTCCTAGGCAGTACTAATCCACTCTGTAAATTTGCTTATTCTGGGCATTTTTGTATAAAGGAAATCATATAATATGTGATTTTTTTGTGACTGGCTCCTTTCACTGAGCATGTTTCTAAGAGTTATCCATGTTACTAGTGTGCCTCAGTGACCATTATTTTTTATTGCCAAATTATAGTCCATTTTGTTGATAAGTCACATTTTGTTCATACATTCATCAGTTGATGGTTATTTGGGTCGTTTCCACTTTTTGGCTGTTATGAATAATGCTGCTATGAACATCCATGACATGGTTTGTGTATATGTATATTTTCTTTTCTCTTTGCTGCATATTTAGGAGTGGAATTGCTGGTTTATGGTAACAATCTAACATTTTGAAGAACTTCTAAACTCTTTTCCGAAGAGTGTGTACCATATTACATTCCCACCTGCAGTACAAGAGTTCCAATTTCATCACATCCTCAACAACACTTGTTATTGTCTGTCTTTTTGATTATAGCCATTCTGGTGTGTGTGATGTAGTACTTTGTGGTTTTGATTTATATTTTCCTAATAGCTAATGACATTGAGCATCTTTTTATGTTTACTGGCCATTTGTGTATCTTCTTTGTAGAAATGTCAACTCATATCCTGTCACTTTATAATTGGGTTATTTTTCATTTTATTATTGAGTTGTAAAGGTTCTTTACTGTCGTTACAACTCCATCATATATATTATTTGCAAAAATTTTCTTCTACTCTGTGGGTTGTCTATTTATTTACTTGGTGGTATTGATTACAGCACAAAGTTTTTATTTTGATGAAGTCACTTTATCTGTTTTCTTTTATAGAAATTTAATATTTTTAGTGGTAAAAAACACATAAAATTTACTGTCTTAACCATTTTTAATTATACAGTTCAGTATCAAATATGTTCACATTGTTGTGCAAATACTGCCGACATCCATCTTTTGTCTTCTAAAACTGAAACTCTGTACCTAGTAAATAGTAACTCCCATTCTTCCCTACCCCAGTCTATTCTACTTTTTGTTTCAATGAATTTGAATACAGTATTTGTCTTTTGTGACTGGCTTATTTGACTTAAAGAAATGTCTTCAATATTTGTCCATATTGTAGCAGGTGTCAGATTGCATGGAAACTGTATAGTAGTTTTGGGAGTATTGCCATCTTAATAAATTGAAATATTTTGATCTATAAACATGGGATGACTTTCCATTTATTTAATAGTTCTTTTTTTTCTTTTAACAACATTGTGTACTTTTTAGTGTACAAGTCTTGCTCTTTGTTAATTCTAAATATTTTATTTTATTATTTTTATTGTTCTGTTACAGTTGTCCCAATCTTCCCT